TCCACGTCTCAACACTTCCTGCATGGCTCAGGCTGAGGGGAAGAAGCGGTCCGTGGACAAAGACGGCACTAAAAAGAGTCTCCTGCGGGCGAGCAGGGCTAGGGCTGAACATCAGTGATTTTCCTCTTGCGGTAGTTGAGAACCAGGCTGGAGGCGGTGAGCTGCGAGGCCTGCCCCTTCTCCCAGCTCTGGAAGCCGTTTAGGCCGCTCTGGCCAGACCTGAATAGAGCCTTCTCCAGACAGTCCAGACGCTCCACGAACGCTGACGTGTCCTCGTTGTAGGCGTTCTGCGAGGAGTCCATGGTCCGCCTGAAGCGAGCGATAAATGTCTGGATGGAGGACAGCAGGAAAAGTTTAATGTGCAGAAACTCGCCAAGCAGTGAATGTATTTTACATTTTAGGCATGCTTGCAAAGTTTTCAATCAGAGTGACCCAGTTTGTGCAACACAGCTCACCTTTGATAATCATTTTAATGCTAAACTTCAGACATGTAGAATTTCATGTTTTCAACTTTCAGGCAAAACTTCAAAGCTTCAAAAAAAAGAAGAAAAAAAACTTGATCTCAAAAATATTGGCGGTAACATCAGAGTGTGTCTAAACATGGCTCTCCCTGTTGCTGCTACATTGAGTTGTAACATTAAATTAGAAAAGATAAACGATTATTTTCAATAACAGTTAATTTGCTTTTTCTATTTCAATTTTTAAAAAAAATTCACAGGAAGAACAAAATGAAATTGTGGGTCATCCAAGTACGTCAACATGAGCATTAAGGTTTGTTCCCAGGACATTTTAATTTAACCCGACTTTTGGAATAAACATTTAGTTTACTCCAAAGGCCGGGTTACAGGTTGGGAGGCAGGTGTCACAGCGGTCAGCATCGACCCCAGCCGAGGCCTTTGTGTGGAGTTTGCACGTGATTTTGTCACGGGGATGATTACGCCATTAATTCATTACTAGTATTTCAGAATCAGAATCAGCATACTTTATTAATTCCCAAGGAAAAAATTTAGGATTCAGGAGAATATCAGCAAATATCTGAAGTAATGGTATCGATATCAGATAGGACTTGGACAAAGGTGGGTCAGTGCATCTCTAGCACAGAGGGATAGCCACGCAAATATATTATAGATCCAGATGTGACAATATAGATCAATACTAACATGTGTGACTCGAACATTGAAAGAATTACTATGTCAACAAGAAACTTAGACAGTTTAAAAAACAAAAACAACTGTTCTTTTTCTGTCGATCACTATGCCACCAGACTGATTGGCACCTTTAGTTTTCTATTTTTTCAGTCAGAATGCAGTTGTGCATTATTCATAACTGATCAATTTCAACACGACAGATTAAGCTATTGTGCTCACGTTAAAAATAATCTTACAGCTTCTAACAGTTTGAGCTATGAGAGGCTGCAAAGAAC